GATAGGCTGTATCGCGATTTATGTTTTTCCATCCCCAAAATATAAGACGACTTAAAATGATCATTAAGACGTTTGTTTTACCATTTCATGTATTGAAGACTTTTTAAGACATTAAATTTAAGAAAACTCACCCGGAGGGATATTGCTTTATTCGTACACGTGCTCCTTAAATACATTTTACAGTTCACGCACATCTATTTTTATTTGCGACTGAAGGGCCCGCACTGTCGAACCCTGTGTTTGTGAAATATCCGCCGCGTCTCTGCAGCGCACGAGGGAACGTAAACGGTTCTCGCGCACACAGAACGAGCAGATACGAAACGTGTAGGGCGAGGAGAGATTTTCCACTAGTGAATAGATCGTGGATGGTTTCATTATTTTGGGGCGGATAAAAAAAAAAAGCATGAGGATAAAAATAATAAAAGCAAAAATGTTTCTCCATATATACTTGGGCGGCCCGCCCAAGCAAAGTCTATGTGTGGGAAGCATTGATATACACACACACACACACACACACACAGACAGACACACACACACACACACACACATATAATAGATGATGGACAAATAGATTTTCCAAAAGGCTTTGACTTTTGTTAAATAAACATGAGCACTTCACTTTTAAGAATCAAAACCCGGCGTGGGTGTTTTTATATCACTGTATTTCTGAAGGAAACCTACTGTCTTCAGAAAATGTTTATGTCTAAAGAACTAAAGGACCCCACAAAGTAGTATATTTCTGTTTTTACTTTCTTTGTGGTGACCCCACACAGTATTATAAACAAGGATGTGTTATTTACTTATTTATTTAATTATTTTGGATTTATTTATTTGTTATTATTGTTTATAAGTTGCTTTTGTAGCCTGTTTGAAGTAAAATTCATGTCACAATATCTTGCTGACTTGCTGTTAACTGATTGTATTTCTGGAATGCACATTTATCATGTTAATATTGAATAAACATGTCAAAAAAAAGAAATACAATAAAATAAACCAGGATGTGTGTGTGTGTGTGTGTGTGTCCTTGTGTCTGTCTGTCTCTGTGTCTGTGTGTCTCTATATGTGTGTGTGTGTGTGTGTGTGTCCTTGTGTCTGTCTGTCTCTGTGTCTGTGTGTCTCTATATGTGTGTGTGTGTGTGTGTGTGTCCTTGTGTCTGTCTGTCTCTGTGTCTGTGTGTCTCTATATGTGTGTGTGTGTGTGTGTGTGTCTGTGTGTGTGTGTCTCTCTGTGTGTGTCTGTGTGTGTGTCTCTGTGTGTGTGTGTGTGTGTGTGTGTGTGTGTGTCCTTGTGTCTGTCTGTCTCTTTGTCTGTGTGTCTCTATATGTGTGTGTGTGTGTGTGTGTGTGTGTGTGTCCGTGTGTCTGTCTGTCTCTTTGTCTGTGTGTCTCTATATGTGTGTGTGTGTGTGTGTGTGTGTGTGTGTCCGTGTGTCTGTCTGTCTCTTTGTCTGTGTGTCTCTATATGTGTGTGTGTGTGTGTGTGTGTGTGTGTGTCCGTGTGTCTGTCTGTCTCTTTGTCTGTGTGTCTCTATATGTGTGTGTGTGTGTGTGTGTGTGTGTGTGTCCGTGTGTCTGTCTGTCTCTTTGTCTGTGTGTCTCTATATGTGTGTGTGTGTGTGTGTGTGTGTGTGTGTCCGTGTGTCTGTCTGTCTCTTTGTCTGTGTGTCTCTATGTGTGTGTGTGTGTGTGTCTCTATGTGTGTGTGTGTGTGTGTGTGTGTCTGTGTGTCTCAGAACCGCTCGTAAGCCCGTGCTGGAGCCGGAGGGGAATCACGTCTCAGCTCTCAGTGATGCCAGTAAGAAGCGTGTGATCGAGGACACGGAGGACTGGCATCCACGCACCGGCACGTCTCAGTCGCGCTCCTTCCGCATCCTGGCACAGATCACTGGCACAGAGAACGGTACACACTCATTCAGCCCTTCATTTACACTCCTATCAGCTTCACAGCTCAAGCTGAAAGTGTTTCTCGCGTCTCTCCTCTAGAGCAAGCTCAGGAGAACCAGCCGGGGAAGAAGTAAGTTCTGCTGTCGTTCTCATCATATCTGATGTTGCTCTGTCTGATCAGTCTGTGCTTAAACCTTCCTGGCATTCAAGGAAATTGCTAGGAATAAAATGGGATCGTGGGTAATCAGGGCTGTTGTCTGAACGCACATGTTCTTAAATAATACTGTTCTATAATTTGAAGTAATATAAATTGGTTACAAAAATTATATTAATGAAAAACAAATAACACTATTTTGATATAAATGATTATATAATAAAATTATGAATGAATTATCTGTATTTCATAATACAACTTATATATATATATATATATAAATGCAAAAGTGCTTATATCGAAATAAGGCTGACATTGTGTTTAAAATAATATAATATTTTAAATAATATAATGTTTATCATTTAAAAACAATGTGAATTATTGAAAAATTATAAATGTTTGTGTTGTAATATTAGATGTTTGCCAATCATATGAAATAAAAATAAACACACACACTACTTATGTAAAGTATTATATAATGATATATATAATATTCACTTTTTTAATTCACTGGTTTAAATGATAATACTTCAATATTTACGCAAATGTAATGTTGAAACTGCAAGATCTGACACATGTAGTCGATCAGAAACAGTTATCAGCTGATAGTGATCTTTATAAGGACAAATATCAGCTAATAGTCCTGATCTATTAGCTGTTTTCAACACTTGTGTGCTTGTGCTGAGGTTTATTACTCGTTCACTGTCCTTCTGCTGTCTGCTTTCCTCTAACGGCTGTATTTCCCGTCTGTCTCTGTGCCATCGACCGTCAGGGTGACCAGAGTGGACCCAGAGCTGGTCCGGCCTCAGTACAACAAGCTGAGAGACTGGCATCACGGGGTCTCGGCCCGCGTGCTAAACGTGCAGTAGACCCGCCCACACCTGTCAATCACAGCAGCACGGTCATGTGACCCAAGAGCGTGTGTGTGTGTGTGTACCACTGATTTATATAAGTGACTGGATTGCTCACTGCGTTCTAAACTGCTGACTGCCGATTGTCTTACTATAGAGAGATGAGAGGGTCTGTATTACATACTATTGGAGAAAGCATAATGGCTTACTTGGATCACATGTGCCTTAATAACCAATCACATTACAGCCTTGACGTCATTGAATTTCAGTCAGAGTTGTGCGACACTCAGTCGCCGTTTACGGATCCCATAGGAATGAATGAGAAATGCCGTAAGCTGTCGCAAAAAGTCAGTGACGTCTCTTATAAAACTGCATTTCTTTCTGTGTAAACTCTAAAAATAATTCAGTCCGAAAGTATTGTTTAGTTAGGGTGGCCATGTTTTAGATTTGGGAGGGGGGTTTGACGGCGGTTAAAAAGCCCCAAAGTATATTTTTAATGTCCTGATCGAGCAACATGTATTTCAGACTCTTCAAGATTTTGGCGTTTTAGTAGCATTACCGTTTCCATGTAAAATGTTATGTGTTAAATTAATAATTTAACGAACGTTTAACTCATTACGTGCTTCAAAATGAATGCTGTTAACGAAATCATTGGTGAAACATTTGCAGTTAGCCTAGTGTATGAATAAAAACACTATAACAAAATGAATGAATAACTGTACAAGACATACAAAGCATAAACCTTTATTCAGATTTCAGAATGAGCACTTTGTCATCTGTAATGCATATGTTGTCCGTCTGATGTTTATCATGTTCAGCGCTACTAATGTATACGAGCATAAGTTTTTCCCAACATTAAACAAATAACTACATGTTTAGGACGTTTGCATTGTAAGAATGTACAGGAATACTTCAGATATAAAAGCGCTGACTTGTTAGGTGATGTTTTCTCATTAAAACCATACGATCTCCTATTAATTCAACAGGATGTATAGGAATACTAGGGAATACAGATATGTCGTCGTGAGCAATCCAGATCTCTATTATAGATCAGTGGTGTGTACAGTGTGTGTGAGAGTCATCAGGGTTTTGGCTGAAGAATGTTAGATTTGTATGATGGTCTGTTCTTCTTTGCATGACGTTTATCAGCTGTGTTTCTTGCTGCTGTTCTTCTGTCACGCATATACAGTGGGTACGGAAAGTATTCAGACCCCCTTAAATTTTTCACTCTTTGTTATATTGCAGCCATTTGCTAAAATCATTTAAGTTAATTTTTTTTCCTCATTAATGTACACACAGCACCCCATATTGACAGAAAAACACAGAATTGTTGACATTTTTGCAGATTTATTAAAAAAGAAAAACTGAAATATCACATGGTCCTAAGTATTCAGACCCTTTGCTGTGACACTCATATATTTAACTCAGGGGCTGTCCATTTCTTCTGATCATCCTTGAGATGGTTCTACACCTTCATTTGAGTCCAGCTGTGTTTGATTATACTGATTGGACTTGATTAGGAAAGCCACACACCTGTCTATATAAGACCTTACAGCTCACAGTGCATGTCAGAGCAAATGAGAATCATGAGGTCAAAGGAACTGCCTGAAGAGCTCAGAGACAGAATTGCGGCAAGGCACAGATCTGGCCAAGGTTACAAAAAAAATTCTGCTGCACTTAAGGTTCCCAAGAGCACAGTGGCCTCCATTCCTTTGTGTGTGTGTGTGTGTGTCCCTGTGTCTGTGTGTGTGTCCCTGTGTCTGTGTCCGTGTGTGTGTCTGTGTCCGTGTGTGTCTGTGTCTGTGTGTGTGTGTGTGTGTCTGTGTCTGTGTGTCCCTGTGTCTGTCTCTGTGTGTGTGTCTCTGTCTCTGTGTGTTTTTGTGTGTGTGTGTCTGTGTTTGTGTCCCTGTGTC